TGTGTGTGTGTGAGTGACTGACAGGGATGGATGGATTGACAGATGAAGGGGCTGATATACTGAACAGGTAAACAGACAAACAGACCTCTGTTCTCTGTCAAGGAGGGATGAAGTTAGCCCTGGGGCATTGGATGTTTATGTAGGGGTGTGTGTTTGTTTGTGTGTGTGAGAGAGAGAGAGAGATGGAAAGAGAATGACTGATAGGCGGGTAAAAGGACAGACCTCGTTTATTCTCTTTTAGTAAGAATAAAGTTAGCTCTAGTATACTGCATATGAAAGTATGGTTATCAGAGTGTTTGTATGTTTTTGTAATGAAAATTTTAAGTAAGAAGATACATAACATATTCTTTATTTGGACACAAATGCATGTTAAGAATAATAAATGATCAAATGATTAAAACATTAGGCAAGAAAAAGTACACTGATGGATTTCGTTATTGTTGAGCAGACACAGAACTAGACCTCCAAAAGTGAATGTGTTGTATAATGGACTGAAAACACTGATGGACAGATGGGAAGGTCAGAGAGGAGCTGTTGATGGAGGTTCGAGTGCTGAAAGGACAGACTAGTGAGCAGAAAGTTAGGGAATGTAAAGATTGATTAGCCTTGAGCAGTAGTGAAAGTTCCCTCATCATCTTGTTTATAAAAGTAACTACAATTGATTCAGTTAATAAATATAAAAAATCACACATTTACTTTAGTTTTCCCATAAAAGTCAACAGTTTTACTTCAGATCCCCTTTTACTCATTCTATCCTCTAAATCTCTGCTTATTGTTTTCTGTCTGCAGGTGAATGGGGGTGCGCAGGGTAACCCGGTATGGAACGCCTCTGATACTGTTACTGAAGGCTGGGTGAAGGCTGAGCTGGCCATTTCTACATTCTGGCCTAACTCCTATCAGGTAACACACACACACACACACACACACACACACATCTTTACATCTTTTGATGGCATGAACATCTATTAACATTACTGCAAAAACTGACAGCATGACTACGACTATGTCTATGGCACATGATGAAAACAATAATACAGAAGCCTATATTAAAACGACACAGAAATAATTGAGCAAACATTTTTTTTTCTAATAGTTCTGCCTGGTCCTCTTTGATCATTGTCTCATAACTTAGCAAAATAGATTAAACTCCTCTTTTAATGTGATTCAGATCTATAATTACGCTCCCTAATGCCATGTGTCAGGCAGATAAGTCAATATTTGATATTTCATATGTCCTGCCTGAGGCTGTTTGAGTTTTTAATTTACTTTAATTTATTGACATGAACATTCAGCTTGAGATTAGTCAGGTGCAAAAGGTGCAAAATATTCATTTTGACAACTGATGTATGAAAGGTACAATAAAAAGGAGAAAATACTCACTTTAGTATTAATTTGAGTTAACTGACCCTTTAAAGCATGGGAGGAGAGAGTCTGCGGTGTATTTGATGGGAAAAAGTTAATGTCCATGAAGCGTGATGTCCCACAATGCAATAATACCTGAATTCTATTCAATTCAATTTTATCTGTATTGCGCCATGTCATACCACAAGAGACAAAGCAATAACAATAGCAACAGTAACAAACTTAAATAGTTCATATACATCTCCCCAAAAATGCTGTCTGTGTTCTACTTAATTCCTGTCCATGTGTAAAGATAGTGGATCTAGCTACAGTAAGTAACTCATGGTAAAATAAAATGTGTTTTCATCCTTTCATCCAGCCACTAGCCAACTGCAAATACTGCCAGATTTGAACTTCATTTAAAGATTCAACTTGAAAAATTCTTATTCTTCAACAAACTTAGCTTAAGTATATATGAGGCAAAACTCAACATACATTAAAGGGGTGTTGTGATTGTGGAGAGGTCAGCCACACAAACTGTTAGTCTTTTGCTCTTTCTGTAATGTTTATGGACCAGTATCGGTGCTGGAATGTAGATAAAAGTCTAATGTGCAGACAGAAGTCTACTCCACATATACAGCTATATTGTACTGAAGGAGTGGCTTTGGTTTATTTTAGTGTGAGATTTGTTCGGTAGCATGATAGCAAGAGTCAAGTCCTTCATTGTGCTTTAAAGCAAAAGCCAGACACTTAGAAACCTTGCATAAGCTAGCTTAATGTCACAGTTAGCTCCACAGTAAGCAGTACGTAATTTAATCAGCAGTAAATACTTATTAATACATCTTTAAAGGAATACACAAAGTTTGAGGAACTGACTATATTGCTACATGCTAAAACTTTAGCATGCATGATAAGATATATAGAGCCTGAACAAATGCGAGTCGCTCAGTTTAGCCTAAGCTAACGTGTGACCGTTGTTTGGAGTTATGGATAGAGTTTAATCTTTTAAGGAAGATAGTTAGATGACCAACAGGTGTCTCTCCGTTGGTTTATTTCTTTAATATTGTAATACAAAGGTGCTGCTGTTTAATGAAGTTTGTCTGTGTGTGTGTGTGTGTGTATCGATCTGTTTAAGGTGCAGGGACCTACCCTGCTGTGTTGTTTTATTGAGGTAGCACAAAAGCAACTGTTTTTATCTAATGACTGCTCAGTAAATGAAGGCACCATGTGTCACACACACACAACTGAGGTAGGCACAGAGCATTAAATGTGTGTGAGTGTTTCCCTCTCTAATGAGGAGTCACCTCCTATGGAGAAATTTTCCAACAAGGACAAAAACATTGTCATATTAAAATACAGATCACTGCGAGGGCCAAAACAAACTATAGGGTAAACTGTCATTCTTCTTTGAACAGGCTAAAGCTTTAGCATCTTTTGTTTTTAATAGACATGTATGTTGTTGTAGCTTTGTCCTGCATTTGCACTACTTGTTTTTCCACACAGACTTACATAAAACACAGTATTTTTTTCATATTTCCATTGCATGTTTTTCCTAATTTGTTACAGTTCTGGTCTGTGGCCATGTAAACACAGTCTGAACTGCAGCATGGGATTTTAATACTCACTGGACAGATCATTACCAAAACTATGTATTCTTTAAGACAAGAACAATATGAAATACAGTGAGATAGTAAGTCAGGGATTACCTCCTGCATGTTTGTCTTTATTAAAGCACAGAAAGACAGAAGAAGCATAGCATGGGTGTCCAATGCTGGACTTGAGCCTAAGACCATGAGCTTACATGTACCTGAATCTGAGACCACTATGCCTGCAAGGTCACACATCTAATTAGTCTTTTGGGGAGACACTTGAGAATGCATTGTTATCAACAAGTGTTAAAAATGATTGCTAGAAAATAGCAGTAACAGAGTCAGGATGGGACATGGCTCCATTTTTTAAAGTAGAAAGCAGGCTTAAAGAAAAGATCACAGATATGAAGGAATGCGTATATTATTGTGATACTGTGTTTTAAACTATATTTTATTCACTGTGAGGTCAAATCTGCATGAAGATCTGTTTATATATACAGATCATTTTTTAAAAATCAATGTGATGTCAATGAAAAATCTGAATTTTGGACACAAAGACCTGTCACAGCAACAACAGCAAAACTATTCCAGTGCCATTCACTTCTGGAAAGTTGACATGCGTGCCAGAGAGGAGGATTTATGTTTCGAAGGAAAGGAAGAGAGTACAGTCTTCCCAGAAGTCTTTAGTATTCAGACTCAGCTCCTCAGTCCCAGCTTATACTGTTGAGGATCCTGACAAGTACAGCACAGAGGTATAGTTGAGTGTGTGTCCTCAGTGTGTGTTTGTGTATGAGTATGTGTGGGTCAGAAGTGCATGGCCCTGTGACAGCCCTGCTGACTGCCCGTCACCCTGAGAGTGTGTAGGAGAGAAAATGTAAAAAAAAAAAAAAAAAATAAAGGAGTGATGCAATGGGAGAGGAATGGAAATAGACACATAAGAGCAAGTAGAATAAGAAGTGGATAAAAGAGCAGATAGAGAGAAAAGAAAGAGCGGGGGAGAGATCAAAAATGGAGCAGAGAGGAGGAGGCCTGACATAAAGGAAAGAGAGAAGGAAAGGAAGAAGGATGGGGCAAGGAGGAGAGGAAAGACGAGAGGAAGAAGGAGGCGGAACGGCATATGCGGTTGGCATAAGGATAGAGACAGAAGGATGAAGGGATGAAGGGAAGAGAGGAAGAGTTGCTGACTTTCAGTGAAACATTCCCCTGGGGTTTCCATATGAGCTTCGCAGGGGCCTCAAGATGTTGCAGTTTGTGCAAGATTTTTTATTTTTTTATTTTTCAGTGCTTTTAGAGGAAAATGTGGCTCATCCTGATTCTTTCTTTCTTTCTTTCTTTCTTTCTTTCTTTCTTTCTTTCTTTCTCCTCCTCAGGTAATATTCGAGGCGGTTTCAGTTCAAGGCCATCCAGGTTTCATCGCCATCGACGACATACGAGTCCTAGCTCACCCCTGCCGTAAGTGACTGTGTGTGTGTGTGTGTGTGTTTCATAATGGTTGACCCTGCACAACTGTAGCCCCACTGAGCATCATCTGTTTTATAGCTATCTCACACTTACACACACACACAGGCCGTGTAAAGGACAGATTGTGAGGCTTGCAGACAGATTGCAGAGAGCCAGGAAGAAGGTCTAAACCCAGGGTCTTCATCACTCAAACCTGACAGAAACACTTTGCTTCACAAAACTCTGGATTGCTTATACCGCAACACTCTGTGGCCTCCTTACCTCGCTCTGGCTACTCAGTATTACCCTCTCGCGTTCTCACTGTCTAGTCTAATTGGCATCATGTGTTGCGCTTTTACATCCAACCATCACTTTATAATTTATTCTGTTCGGTTCAGCTTTACTGGCAGTACAACCGAACATGATCTTATTACTCTTAGATAATGAGTCTTGTTCCAAGTTTTAAAAACTACAGGGGGGAATTGTACTGAAGTGTACTACATAACAGACTGTAATACATAATTTAAGAATGCTTAGTAAATAAAAAAGAAAATAAAAAAGAACAGCTGTAATCAGAAGCTCTTTTTGTTTTCATGTTGATGAATTTAAAGAAAGCTACATGATTAGATTTTAATGCTTTCCTAACACTTTGTTTTAGATAATTTATTCCTTTAACTCTTCCTGTTATTCATATATCTTTTGTCTTTTTTCCATGTACCCACATGTCCCACTCTACTCTTCGTCTGTCTTTGTTTCAAGGTTCTTTTTTCTGCTACTGTTTTTTCTTCTTTCTCTGAATGTCTGGCACAGAACACGTAGCTCATCTGTGCCAATCACTAATCAGATTAGTCAAAGTGGGTGAGTCAGTGGTGGAAAGCAAGAGGGAAGCGAGTGGAGGTATTTACAATGGAAGAAAGAAAATCTGAGATAATGTAAAGAGAGGGAGGAGAAAGAAGAATGCACAAATAAAGAAAGGTTACAAAAAAACCCAACCTTCATATCCAAGTCATTGTCATTTGCAACAACCTGACCATTAACGTCAGGGCGAATTATCATTGTTAAATGATCGATGCATACTCCGTCAGACTTATCTCTGTCTGCAGACAGTGGAAATGAAATTAACCAGTCGCTGGATGGTTTCAATGCCAGGCCAATGTCACCCAATGTCTTGTAGTCTGTCTTATTGTCTGCCTGCTCTGCCTCTTACATCCCACGAATTTCTCTGCTTCAGTCCAGACAACAATATTAAGCCCTGTTTGAGCTGGATTACTATTGTTGTGGGTTTTCCTGCAAGAACTGTTTCTTATTACCAATGGCTCCTGCTATTATAAGCCAGTGTGAATCTACCATGTCTTTTATAACTAGATGGAATCTTTCAGTCATCTTCAGTCAAATCAGAAAAAGAGACACAATACAAAAAAGTTCAAGTCTATATGGTCTGGGGAACTGGTGATTTCTGAAAATGCAATTGAAAGAAAATCATGTCAAAAGCGATAGTTCATCAGCAGCATTACATGATCCCAACAAAGTGTGTTCACGTCAACAATTCGATTGGTGCAACAAAAATACAATTTTTATCTCTACAGTGTATTTTCTGTGTATGTTGCAGGTAAAGCCCCTCACTTCCTGCGTCTGCAGAATGTGGAGGTGAACGTGGGTCAGAACGCTACGTTTCAGTGTACTGCTGGAGGGAAATGGTCTCAGCATGATAAACTCTGGCTACAGGTCAGTACACTCTTATCGGTAAATGTGCATGAATGATATCAGGAGGTGTACATGCAGAAGTTGTATAAAGAAAGGTCTGACTGCCGTAAGCAGTCAAATATTCTAAAACTGATAACATATAAGCAATTCTGTCTTTCAGTGGCAGATTTTCAGTCTGTTTTGTGAAAGATATGTTAAACCTAATGCTGCTCTGAGGTATATCCCAGTGTAGTCTAGTAAGTAGTACTTCTACAGGATAATCTAATATAATCCTAAATATGATCATTATTGTATATTTACACATATTTTTCTATACATTTTTCTAAAGTAAAATGCTGCAATGTGTGTGCGCCAAAAGTCCATTTTTTTCTATATCAGGATGCGTCAGTGTATATTATGGCTCCTATTCCATGGTCACTTACTTTTAGAAAAACGCTATGTTTTTAGTCAATTTTCTAAAGTTTGAATGTATTAAGTTCAATGTTGATAAGCAGTGCTGTTGTGTATAATGTTTATTCTACTTTAGGCACTGATTTAGAAGAGTAATTAAACTAAATCACTTGACCAGAACTTTAAGTGAGTTATACTTTTGTATGATTCTGATGGACTCTTGGCAGCCAATCAGAATCCAGAATCCATTATTCTATTGAATATTGTGCAATATAGAATATAAATTCTAAAAGGCCAATGCAGAAAATACAATTATGAAATATTTATAACATTTTATAAAAAAAAGTACTATGTGGCAAACATCCCCAGCCTTCCCTGCTCTATTTCAGGATTGATTAAAAGTCCTTGTTCTGCTACGCACTGATGACTCCATCTCTGCAGTGACAAGTGTGTGTGTGTGTGTATTTGTTTTGTGTATCCGTGCCTCTCTAGTCATTCTAGTTTAAATTTATGTGCACTGGCACACTTGCATGTTTTCACTGCACATGGGTGTATACTACTGAGAACGCTGCTGTGTACAGTAATGACATTTACAATGGAAAGCAGTGACCTCCTGACTGGAGGTCTGTTGGGCAAAGCATGTTCCTCTAAATTGGCAGATAATACTACAGTGGTGAAAGGAGATTGGATCTGGAGATATGGGGATCGTATGCAAAGCAGAAAGTGGCAACAGTATGTTTTTCAGTTTAATGTCTGATCTGCTTAGTTTAAATTGCTTCTGTTTACTGCCTGGTCTTTGATATTAATAAGGGGTCATTACTGTGTCCTTTGTTGGTGAGTTTCTCTTGTAATCACTGTAAATTGAAAGAAAACTGACAACAAACAGTTAACCACCTTTCACGGTTCAAAGCATCTCTTCAGAAATCCTTTAAGTTAACATTTCGTTTGATGTTAGGAGAAAGTAGCCATCTTGAGCCCTTTACAATGTGCTCTGACAGCCTGGTCAGCATCGGTCAGAACATGCCTCAAAGCTTTTGCCAATATCTTCTCATCTTTCCCATCATCCAGCAATGGAACGGTAAAGACACGGCGTTGATGGTGACCAGGGTGGTGAACCACCGGCGTTTCTCGGCAACCGTCAGCGTTGGAGACACATCCCAGCGCAGCACCAGCCGCTACCGCTGCGTCATCCGATCAGACGGCGGGTCAGGAGTGTCCAACTATGCCGACCTCATCGTTAAAGGTACATTCTGCTGTTTATCAAGTTCCATATGAAGTACAAGTGGAAGGCAAACTGCCAGTCGCTTAAAAGCAGAGCGTTTGTGATGAATTTAAATGGGTGAAAGAAGAGCAGCACTTGACAAATCCGATCAGTATGAATGCTGTAAAATGGGACAACTTCTTTAATGTAGAGAAAGGGAGAAACAAGCCTGGGTTGTGTTTTGTGTGTATGTGTGTGTGTGTTTGGTTGTTGCTCATTAGTGCTGTGAGAATGCTGAGGAAGGAATACTGAACAGACTTCAGAGTAGTGACTAGAACTCACAATGAGCCCTCTTTCACTCCGTTTATGTCGCTCTGTCAGTCTTTTACTTTATTTTATCCTGTGTTTCTTCCTTTTCTGTCAAGGTTTGAAATAGATACCAACACTTTGTTTATTTCTTTGAATTTTGAAAATACTAACAAAAGTAATATATACTACTTATGACTTAAGGTGTTAATTTTGTCTGAAAAGTGTCAAAGGTTGACTTTTCTAAACATTTCTTCTTGATGAGGACAAAAGATGAGTGCAGGAGTAGTTTGGCAGGAATACAGGTTTGAATGGTGCAGGAACAAGCAGAGAATTCATGATGTTGGTAAACCCTAATGAAAAAATGTTTTATCTCACTTGGAAACTACTTTAGCTAAAACGTAAAATCAAAAGCAACGATCATATTTAACACAAATAGAAAAAAATATCTATTCTTTACTTCTTCTCTTCCCTGCCAGTCCTTTCTTTTTCCTTTCACCCCTTCTCACCTCTTGTTTCCTGTGTCCCTCCTGTATTTATCTGTGCTGCTCAACAAATCCCCTCGCTGAGGACATTTAAATCCTCTAATGCGATCTACTCAGCTCTGTGCTCGCACTCAATACGGGGCAGAAATATAAAGGAATCTCTGTGATTTACCATCCCACTCTTCATCCCATGGTTCATGTGAACAGCAGGAAATACAGTGCTGTCCTGTTGAGAAGGATTTTGATGTACTGAGGAGGTTGGATAATGTTGTTGTAAGGCTTTTGATAGAATTATAGCATCGCAGCTATCTGTTGTTGTCAAACATAATTACATTCCTTTACCTCTCCCAGTCTCCTTCTATTGCACTCTGTGTCTCCACCTTCAGCTTATGGACTTTACTTGTGAGATGATAAAGAAACGTTTCTTTTAAACTACTCTTGACATCGCTGCAAAAGTGTGTCTCCCAAAGTGTATAGTAGTTCACCAAGCCTGCTACAGGTCAACATAGTGTTTAATACAACATACACACGTAGATACCACATTGGCTGTTCATTGGAGTGATGCGACAACAATCAACCACAGCCACAGATGTTTTTCCTGTCTCTTATCTTTTAAAACATAAGCTAACCAGCAGAAATACCTCTCACAAACGTTGTATTCTCTTTTAAAGTATCCTTGACCAAGACACTGAAGCTATGTGTGCTCAGTCACTGTAAAGCAGAGTTTATGCTCGGTTGGTTGCTTGGTTCACTGGGGTTGTCTTTTGACAACATTCTTTGTTGCACCTCCACCCAAATGTATACCCTGAGGTAAAAAGAAGTGGTTTGTATATAACATGGCCACTTACACTTTTTAACATTATTGTCTGGAATTAGTGTTCTTTCTAACGATAAAATGCTTTCAATGAAGTTTAAATTAGATTCCTGGGATGCATCTGGACAAACATATATCTACCTTACCATATTTTATATGACTTATGTCTATTAAACCTGAGTATATCTTCACGTGATGCCGGGGGGGCTGAACTGTGTTTGTTTTTTAATGGAATTTAAATTGCATCACTGAAATACATTTAAATGTAGCAACACATTGGCCTAAATTATGTTCTCAATGCATATTTAGTATGAATTATGCTGTTAACCTTATTTGGTGTGAAGGATGTTTAATCTGGGGGGAGGCTGGAGTGTGTATGTGTGTGTGTGTTTGTGTGTATGCGTGAGCGTGTGCTGTTTTGATTAGATGATAGTCCAGGGACTAAAACTGTCATTACCATCTGTTAGCAGAACACACAGACTCTTCTCCTGACGTCCAAATGTGTGTGTGTTGCTTACCCTGCTGAATGTGTCTCTTGGCATGTATGAGTTGGTCCTGTGTGTGTGTGTGTGTCTGCGCGCATGTGTGTGAAGCTCAGGTGCTGTCAGCCATGCATTGTGCCAGGGGAATAGCCCATGCCAACACAGCGAACAAGAGAGATATGCAATATTACACACACACATCAGTGAACACACCTCCCCGAAGCGCTCTGTGCGTGCAGTGTGTGTCGCTAAATTTGTGTGTATGTGTGTCCTTGATATGTGCATTTGTGTATTTTTGAGATTTTTCATTCACTCCATTCACATGTGCTGGGATCATCTGTGTGCAGCATAGTTTGTCTCTGGGTGTGTATCTGCAAGCCTTTTCATTTTTTGTGTTCATGTCGCGGTTATTGTGTGTCCAAATTAATTTGTGTGTGTACGTGTGTATTTGTGTGCTCCCCCAAGTTGCTAAGTGAAATCAGGGTTAATTAGTGTATTGTTCAGCCAGGTGTGACCAGGAGAATCTGGCGAGAGACACTTCTCATGTTACAGTGGCCTCTCTGTGCACTGTGTATGGCTGCTTGTGTGTGTGTGTCCTACGTGCTCATGCATGCATCCTCAACTGTGACATCACACTGCTGGCTGGCCGAACAGATGATGTCTTCCTTGCTGACAACTAAAAAAAGACAGCTGAAATTAAACATTTGCAATCAACTTAGCAACCTTCTGGTAGGGTTTTATTTGTAGGTTGATTTGGACATACGACTAAAATTCTGATTTAAAACTACAGCTAAAGAGATAGATAGATACTTTATTGATCCTAAAGGACATGCAGACATCCAGTAGCTTATACGGCACATATAAAACACCAATACAAGAATGTAAGAATGAAAACAAGAATACTGCATACGAATAAAACCACCGCAGTGAAATGATAGTATAGCCACTAGAAGTACTACAGAGAGCTGTCACTATAATACAGTATCATCAATACCTCAATAGAAGAATATTCATTCAGAAGTAAAAGGACTGATGTGTTTGCTCAAAGCCATATGTGTAGCATCCTTTAACGGGTTCTGTTTGGTTTGATTTTATTTGTAGAACAAAAAGGGACAATCTCAGTGAAAATTGGTGCAATCTATGTGTTGCTTTCAGCTCAGTTGGAATTGTATGCATTGCTGTCTGCTGCAGTGTCTGACTGAGGGCACCTAAAGTTGGAAATGTTCAGATTTGAAATACAGTGGCTTTAAGGAAGGAAGAATGGAAGTACTAAAAGTAAAATGTACTAATGAAATCTAG